CCGCTCGCCACTCTTAGCTGATTGGCTCGACCTGCTTGGGGGCGGGCCCCAGCCTCTTTCCCCTATTGGCCCACAGGCACATCCTTTCCCATTGGATAAACGGTTTGCAGGCCTTGTCCCGCTTAGCCTTTTCCTGGCGAGGGGAAGGGGCTCAGCAGGCCACGCCGGAAGTCGTGCGAGCCGCCGCCGCGCAGGCGCCTTCTCAAGGCGGCCGCCTTCCGGTCTCAACAGGCGTCCGACCCCGAGCACCTCAGGGCGGCGCTCGCTCTTTTCAGCAGATAGTCTGGCGGCGGTCCGTTGGACCAAAAAAGCTGCTCCCGGGCTGGGGATGCAGCCTTGCGGTCACCCCCTGGTTCCAGAAAACACGTCGCTTAAGGCTTCCCACGCACGCCTTCGTCTTCTAGTCACAGCCGGCTGACCTGCAGCCCCGTGGACTGGCCAGGCCTGTGTCAGTGTCTGACGGGCATCAGTCCACAAGTGGGAGCGCGCGTTCTTACCAGGTGTGACATTTGTCTCTCTTGTGGCGTATACTTTGTTCGTTTTCATCGTGCACAAAAGTCCATTGTATGACTCCCAAATGAAGCGTTCTGCGGAATCCCCAGTTCAGCCGCTGATGGCCTTTGAGATATTTGCCTCCAGTGCCTAAACACATATTTCTGGTTTTGTTTTGTTCCTCACTCAATAGCCTAGGCTGGCTTGGAGCTTGTGGCAGTCCTGCCTCAGCCTCCTGAGGGCTGGGATTACAGGCGTGCACCCACCTTCCGGGTTAGGAGCGTTAATTGTTGCAGCGGTGAGGTTGGATATGGTTTGAATTGCTTAAAAAACGAGATATTTCCTAAAAATTTTTTGCCAGTACGTTGCCACCAACATTACAAAAGTTAATGTTCCATAAATGGCACCATTTGAAAATTTTCAGTCATTATCACATGGTTTTACTTTTATTAGTGAGGTAGAGCACCATCTCGTTTATCAGCCTTTTGGTCTCTCCTGAAATTCTTGTTCGTGCCTCTTGTTCGGGCTCCTTTTGGGTTGATGATTGTTGTCTGTGCAGTAGTTTTTTCTGGATCTAAGCGCATTTTCGGTTACACGTGTCGAAAATACCTTCTCTCACAGTGGTTTGCCTTTTGATTTTTCTGTTCCATCCCCGGTACCAAAAAAAAAAAAAAGGTTTAAATTTTAAAAAGATTTTTTGGGGGGGATACTGGGGATCGAACTCGGGTCTAAATCCTCGGCTCAAATAGATATCTTTTGATGCTGGACGTGAGGGCACTTGTCTGGGAGGCTGAGGCAGGGAGATCATCATGAGTTCGAGGCCTGCGTTGGGCTACATAGTAAATTCAGGACCGACATGAACTACATAAGGCGACCCTGTCTCCAACCAAAAAAGAAAAAGAGGGCTTTTGAGGAATAGAGTTTTGTATTTTATACTCACTTTGTTTTCTTTAGTGCAGGGGATAGTCATTCATTATCTTTCCAAGTATTGTATTCTTATGGTGCTGGGAGTTGAGACCAGGGCCTCACACACTCTAGGCATTTTAGGTGCTCTAGGTGTTCTACCACTAAGCTGCATGTGTCCCCAGCTCTTTTTTTTTTTTTTTTTTTTTTTTTTGTGGTACGGGGTTCGAACTTGGGTCCTTGCGCTTGCGAGGCAGGCCACCGAACCGCTGAGCTAAATCCCCAGCCCTCATTCTGTTTTTTAATCCCTATTCTGCCAAGTTCCTTTTGTTCAGTTTTTTTTTTTCTTTTTAAATTTTTTGGTGCTGGGGTCTGAACCCGGGGCTTCATGCTTGCTAGATAAGCGTTCTACTACTGAGCTAAATCACAGCCCCTCATTTTCAGTTTTGAGACAGGGTCTTGCTAAATTGCCCAGGCTTAGCTTGAACTTGTGATCCTCCTATGTCAACCTCCTGAGTAGCTGGGGTTACAAGTGTACATGCAACTCATTTTTAAATTGTATGATTTGTCTTATAAGAGTATTTTATATACTCTGTGTACCTATCTTTTATATGATGTAAGTCTGTCTGTTTTGCACTTGTCTTCCTGCCTCTTTTTCTTGATGGTGACTTTTGAAGAAGAAAAGTTTTTACTTTGATGCAGTCTAACAACAAATCTTTTAAAAGTCAAAACTTTCTATTGTGAATACCTTTGGTGGCCTAAGAAATATTTGCCCAGTTCAAGATGATGATGCCCTCCTATGTTTGTTTGTTTTCTGAGATAAGAGTTTTGCAAGTCCTGGGCTCCCATGGCTCTCACCTCAGCCTTCCTACTAACTGGGATGTTACATGTGCCCTGATGCGTTGAATGCATTTTGTTCAGTGTTTTATAGTTCACTTCTTCCATTTAAGCCCAGTTTGCTTACTTTTTGTCTGACGTGAAGGGGCAACATTCATCTTTCTGCATGTACATCCAGTTTTCCCAGCACTGTTTATTGAAGGTTATATTTTTCCTCATTGAATTGTGTTGACATCTCTGTTGGAAGATCAATTGACCATAAATATAATAAAGGTTATTTTTGGATTCTGTGTTGTTCTGTTGGCCTGATCCCTACTTGTATGCTAATACCACACTGTTTTGATAACTGTAGCTTTTTATTTAAGTTTTAAAAATCATAAGAGATACCAATATACCGATTTTAAAAATTATTTTGGTTATTCAGGGTTTGTTAATATCCATATAAGTTTATAAATTTGAGAGTCAGTTTTCAAGTTTTGCAAAAAATAATTTTTTGGTGGTGGTTCTGGAGATGAAATTTAGGGCTTTATACCTGCTAACCAGTGGCTCTATTCCTGAGCTGTGCTCCTCACCCCAACCTGCTGAATTTCAGACAGTGATTGAAGTCTCTCTGTAAGTCAACCTGACAACCACTGAGCATGGACGGCATTGAGTCTTCCTGTCAGTGGACATAGACTGTCTTCCCATTTATTCAGATCTGAATTTTCCTCTGTAATATATTGTATAAATTTCACATTTTTTTGGTACCAGGGATCAACCTTGCGCTTGCAAGGCAGGTGGTTGACCCTCTGAGCTAAATCCTTGGCCCTATTTCACATAATTTTTACTGCTAATGTGAGCAGAATTATTTTAATTTCATTTTTGGATGGTTCATTGCTGGTAAAGAGAAATGCAGTTGACTTGTACATATTGATCCTATATTATTGTGACCTTGTTTTGAGTTCTAGTAGATTTTCACAGGGTTTCTACACCCAGGACAATGTTTAAAGGCAGTTTTGGTTGTTCCTTCCAGTTGGGTCTAGTCCAGTTGAGTATCGAAGAGGAGCCCCAAGGGTTAGCTGTGTAATTGCTCAGATGATAGAGGTGTGGCTGGGTGTGGTGTTGGGTACCTGTAGCCCCAGCTGTTTAGAAAGCCGAGGCAGAATGATTGCAAGTTTGAGATCAGGCTGGGCTTCTTGGTGCAAACTTACCTTAAAATAAAAAATGAGAACAGGAGCCAGGCATGATTGTAATCCCAGCACTTGGATGCCAGCTTGGGGTAGAGTCTGGACCACAGACCCTGTCTCAAAGAAAAGAAAAAGCAAAACAAATAAAACAAAGCAATATGGCTGCTTTGATCCCGGTATGTCGGACTGCAGATGGTTCTTAGGAAAGGAGGGCTGGATGGGGCCGTTGCTGGAGTAGGAAGAACTGAGTGGGGGTCGTATTTAGCATCCTGTAAGAGGCCGCTCTTCAGCAGGACTCCGACACCAGTGGTGACGCAGATGCACAGCTGCCTGGGGTGGAGCTGCCGAGGATCAGCCTTGCCAGCGTGACTCAGGTCCTGGCCAGGAACCTCCCTGGTGAGAGTAGTGTCACCTTGTGACCCCGGGAGGTAGAGCCCTGGATTCTAGGGAGCAGCGACCACTGTTGTTAGCATGGCAGATGTTTTCACTGGCAGTGGTGCCCTCACCACAGTGCCTTCCCCATGGGATGGCTGTCACATAATTCCTTCTTTTGAGTTTGGGCACTGAATGTATACGAAAAATGGTGACACATTAAATTTCCAAGAAAAATGCAGAAATACTGATGACTACAATATAATGTGTGTATCAGGAGTATTTCAAAACAAAGAATACTTTAGGGCTGGGGATTTAGCTCAGTGGCTCCGCGCTTGGCCTTGTAAGTGCAAGGTCCTAAATTTGAAACCTGGTACTAAAAACGAACCAAAACACAAAAGCTTTCACTGTTTGGATGATGGTGCCTGCCTATAATCCCAACACTCTGGGAGGCTGAGGCAGAAGAATCACAAATTCAGCTTAGTTTGGGCAATTTAGTGACATACTCAAAATTAAAGAAACGAGTGACAGGGCTGGCGATGAAGTTCAGTGTGAAGGCCCAAGGTTCAACTCCCAGTAACACAAAAAAACAGTGATTAACTTTTTACAGGTGAGGGGGATGAGGAAGTGGTTGGAGTTATTAAAAAGATAAATTTAGCCCATTGTGGTAGTACAGGCCTTTAACCCCAGCTACTCAGGAGGCTGAGGCAGGATTGCAAATTCAAGGCCAGTCTGTGCACATATTGAGACACTGACTAAAGCAAAAAGGGACCAAGAATATTCCTTAGTGGGTGGAGCTCTTCTTAGCATGCTCGAGGCCTAGGTTCAGCCGCCCTGTTGCCCCATTGTACAGGTGAAATGGAAAGCTGTGATCCATAGGGGCAGACACAGCAGTCAGGGCTCCTCAGCAGCACACAGAAGGGATCTATAACTCGAACCACTGGCTAAGCAGTCTCTAAGGCCAGGCCCGAGTGCCTGACGCCAGCACATCAGTAGCAACATTGACACCTGCAAACCTGCCCCCATGGCTGCCTGGCACTGGATCATGGTGGGAGTTGTATTTGTTTCTCTTCTTTTTTTGGCATCAGGGATCAAACGCAGGACCTTGCACTTGCCAGGCAGGAGAGATGCCACTGAGCTTCACCCCTGGCCCCAGGAGTTCAACAAAAAAAAAAAAAACCACACAAGCTGGGGCTTGCTCCTATAAGTGACTTGAATTAGCATTTTCCCAGTTCTTCCAAGGATGGCACATAGACAACATGAACCTAAGAGCGTTAAAGATGTCAGTTCATTATGCAGTGTATGGTGTTCAGACTCATGGCTCACTTCTCTCAGGAACTTGTGGGAAGGGTCTACTCTACAAGGCGCTGCCAGGATCTCTACCTGGGAGCACCAGGGACAGAAGTGTGAATGCCCAGGAGGGAGAATTAGACTGTGAAACCTGATCTGAGCTGACTGAAGTGTGATCCTCCTCAGCTCCACCCAGCCATCCGGCCTTTTGGCTAACATCAAGTGTAGAATGCTAGCGAGATTCAATGTATCCGATCTGAAGTCGCTTTCCTCATAAATCTACAGACCCCCCCCATAAATCTATATAGTGCTTAAGAAAAGACATTTTATTATTTTTTGGAAAAGATCCATGATTATCTTAAATGTGAAAGCCATATCCAGAAATGTGAAGTAGTTTTAGGAACAAGGGGACATCTCATTGTCATCTGGTCACGTCACAAGGAATCCAAGGCAGTGGAGGCCCAGAGCGTCTGGGAGGCCTGGCTGCTCTACCTCAGCACTGTGCCACTTCCAGTGTTGGATCCAGCGTAAAGAAAATGTCCATTGTCTTCCGTGCACTTTGTGACAATGGCTTAGAGGTAAGCACAGAGCCGCTCCAGCTGCCCGGGGTTGGCATTACTTAAGAACAGCAGCTCTTTCTTCCCTTCTTCTGTAGAAGCTAAAATGGAGGCAAGCACAGGTTAGGTGGCAGTTTCTACTGGTCGCTTTGTGTCTTCTAGAAAACGCTGTGATCAGAGGCTATGTTAGCCATATTATCCTACAGCAATCTTCCCAACATCTCATTTTTTGTGCTTTCCAAACTACCACGCTGCAGCTACTTTGACTCTTCCATCTCCAATAACCTGTTCCTGTTACTGTGAACTCCCCCACCCCGTACTGGGATCAAACTTGGGTCCCTGAGCTTGCAAGGCAGGTGGCAGTACCACTGAACTAAATCCCCAACCCACTATGAACTATTACCTAGGGATAGAACCTTTTACTTTTCTTCCACATCTCCTTCCACATCCAGAGATGAGGTAGATATAAATGCATAGATAGAATGCTTTCAGTTAGTGTAGATCAAATCTGCTATTGAGAGTTAACCTTTTCTTGTTTTTTTTTCTCATGAAAATTTTTTTTTTTTTTTTGGTACGGGGGATTGAACTCAGGCCCTTGCACTTGCGAGGCAGGTGGTGGCACCAAGCTAAATCCCTAGCCCTTTTTTTTTTGAGACAGGTTGTCACTGTATAGCTCATGCTGGCCTTGAACACACTATGTAGCACAGGCCGACCTCAAACTCCTGGCAATTCTCCTGTGCACCACCACACCTGGTTATGACCTACCTCTTAATATTAGTGAACATTTTCTGTATACATTAGAACAGGCATGGCAAAGACTGAGTTTGGTGCTAGCTTAGCCTCATACAGAGTAAGGTCTGTGGGTGTTCGAGTTCATGAGTCTCTCAAATGATGTTTGTTAAATAAATGCTACAGTGAAGGTTGTAGCAATCGTTATTATTATTTTTTTGAGTCAGGGTCTCACTATGTAATTGAGACTGACCTGGAACTATGTAGCCCAGGCTGGTCTCAAACTCACAGTGATCCTCCTGCCTCCCGAGTGCCAGGATTACAAGTGTGCACCACCATGCCCAGCTTGTAGCAATCATTATTAAGAGTTCCATAGCAACCACCAGTCTTTCCCTAAAAACCAAGACTCTCACACTGCAAAACAAGTTGCAGATGGAATTGGCATTGTGACCTTCGTATTCTGCTTGATCTGGGTCTTCTGCAGCCAGGAACTCATTACTAAAGGGAACAGGCAGCACATACTAGTATAGAGACTTTCTTATTTTCATTTTAACCATTACATTATCCTACAGTATTGGAAACTCTGAAATCATCTTTAACTCCCCATGTTAACTGCCTCAACTAAGAAGTCACATCTTTAGTAAAACAGCTTGATGTTCATATATTTATACATTTCCACTGTAAAAATCAATGTTAAATATTTATGGAGCAAATCAACCTTTAGTCACTCCTATTTGCTAAAATTCTTAGTGTTCAAAGCAGTAAGACGCAAGTAGGAAGACAAAGGAACCAATATTTTGTATCGGATCCTTTACGGCAGGCTGGGGACTCCAATGGCCAGCAATACTGTGTACATACCTCAAGTACTATCTCATTTAATTATACAGGATCCTGTCAAGACACTACTATTTGTATCTTGGCACTTGGGAGGCTGAGGCAGCAGGATTGCCCTGAGTTTGAGGGCAGCCTGGGCTACATGGCGAAACTTTATCTCCCCCCACAAAAAAAAACCCCAAAAAACAAAACAAAAAAAAAACCCCACTGGGAATGTAGCTCAGTGGTATAGCATTTGCCTAGCATGCATGAGGCCTTGAGTTCATCATCTCCAGCACTGCCAAAACCCACATAATACAATAAATATTAAAAAAATCAATGTAAGAGGGTGGCAGCAACCCAGACACCTAGAAACGGCCTGTGGCTCAATATGACTTCACTGCTTCATAGCATCAACATTTTGTTTTGGACAAGATGCAAATTTGGGGAGAAACAGCATTCTCTTATAAGCCATCAAGATAAAGGGAAGAATGATGAAATGCAAACCACGAAGGGCAGCGCCCAGGCCGTGGCTCCCACTGCGATCACAAAGCCCTGTGACGGAAGAGGGAACGGCTGACCTTTCTCATGCTGGAGCCACTTGCTCTCCAAATAATAATGAATGCAACTTTCAAACTCTTTCTGTCTGTAGTTAGAAACCAGGATGGGAAGAAAGGGGTCCAGGGCATCGAAGCCTTCCTGGAGAAGAAAGAGGATAGGGTACAACATCAGTCACATCGCGGATCGGCAGAGGGAGGACCCTTCTTTGCCCTCCTCGAATGAACATCGTGAGTAAAAGAGAAATAGATTCCATGTTCCCTGGTGTGATGCACAGAGAAGACCCATTCTGGAGGAGACATCAGCCCAGCTCAGAAAATACGCTGCAGAATAAAGGACACACACAGTACTGTGTCAAGCATGAAGCCCAAGGTTACAAAAGACTAAAGGCAGAGGCACTGTCACAGATTAACACTGAGATGCGACGACCAAACTGACACATAACTGAAGATTTCCTTTTTCTCTATTAGAATATTGTGTCAACTGGCAAAATCAGAATAAGCTTTACAGATTAAAGTATTATACCAATGTCAATTCCTTGATTTGGTAATTGTGCTCTGAATATACAGTACAATCTTTTTTTAAAGAGACAGTAGGGCCAATGTGGTGGTGTACACCTGTAATCCCAGCACTCAGGAGGCTGAGGCAGGAGCATCACTGTGAGTTTGAAGCCAGCTGAACAACACATTAGATCCTGTCTCAAAAGACCTAAAGTCTTTAAAAATTTAAAAAAGAAAAATAGACATTATTTAGAGATAAAGAAGCTTCATGTCTTCAGGTTACTGTCATATAATTTTGATAAAAAGTAGTAGAAAGTAGGCTGGGCCTGGTGTGGTGCACACCTGTAATCCCAGCACATAGGAGGCTGAGGCAGGAGGATTGCTGAAAATTTGAGGCCAACCTGGGCTATACAGTAAGATGCTGGCTCCAAAAAAAAAAAAAAAAAAAAGAAAAAACAAATATGATACGGTTAACACTTGGAATCTGGATGAAGGGAATAAAAGAATATGTTTTTTCTTTAAGTCTCAAATTGTATCGAAATAAATAGTTCATAAAATGTTATTTCTTTAGACAGAATAATTATAATAAAAGGGAAACAAAATTCTCCATGACTTGACCTTGCCCAGTAGCTCATGGGGCAGAGAGGCTTTTGAGGGCTTGAAGAGTGACCCTGTCTGGCTCAGAGCTAACACGATGGCACCTCCATGCTGAAAGAAAGGACAGAAGGCATAATTACAAAAAGCTGAGAAAGACAGTAACAGTTTATCACCCCAATGGTGGGATTTCAGACTCTTCCAAAAATAATACAAAGATACTGTTAACAATCACAAATAAAGTAAAACCAGGCCGGACAGGCATGTGGCCCATTCCTGTAATCCCAGCACTGTGAGAGGCTGAGGCAGGAGGAGTGCGAGTTCCAGGTGGCCTAGGGAATCCAGCAGGACACTGTCTCAAAAAGGGCCAGGGAACCGGGGGCACAGCTCTGTGCTAAGGCCCTGAGTTCAATCCCCAGTACCCTGTTCTCCCTTCCTCCCTCTCTCTCCCTCTGTCCTCAATATTTAAATAGTTTTGAATCAGTTTACTCCAGTCAATTTAAAGATCAGAAATCTAACACATAAATTTTAATCCTGACCTTACTCCTAATTTGGTACAGTTATAAAATTAAGTAAGAGAACACTGTGGTTTTAGCACCAGAGACCGCAAAGACAAGTGTTTCCGAAGCAGCTGAGCATCACCGCTCACCCAGTCATTCCGCGTCATCTTCCTCAGGTTGTGAATCAGCGCTAATTCCTCTGCTGCAATCTGCATGTTGTCAACGGGAGAGGAGAGAGGTCATCACAAGACAAGTGAGCTGACAAAGGGACAGCAGCTCTCCCCGCTACACAGGCTGGGGCGGAGGAGCACCTGTGAGAGCTGCGGCTGCTGGCCCAGAACAGTGCAGCCCCAAACTCACTGGCCTCACTTTGAAAAACTAACAAAGAGAAAACGTCAGGAAAGCAAACAGCCGCTGTCTCGAGGTGTCACCGCCTCCTTCCTGTGCGCATCGACCCAGCACCCGGCACCCAGGGCAGGAGTACCGGTCCACACAGCACAAGGCCAGCAGAAATCAGGGAGGCCTGCAGTGAAAAGAAGTCTCTTCCTACCGGGCTTTTGTCTTCTCTCTTAAGCGTGGTCCTCCCCCACAATGCGTTGACACCGTCCACAGCCACCAGGAGATGGAACAGCCCCTCGGAGCTCTGCCTCTTTAGCTCCTTCAGGACAATCCCGACCGCGTCAGTGGCGGTCTTCACCCGGGTGATGCCCTGCGGGGAGACAGTGGCTCAGCGCCTGCAGAGGCCTCTGGCTGGAAGGGCAGCCGGCACCCCTTCCCCTACCTGCTCCACCACTTCTCCCAGAGGGCTGCCTTTTTCAGTGCTTTCTCTCTTATTCCAGACATACTTCTCTTGAACTTTTATCTAAAAACAAGCAGACAAAATAACTAAAAATAGCTGGACACATCTGGAGTTGAGCAGACGGGAGGCTAAGGTTAACAGGAGTCAGTTGAAATCTGTGTCACAGATGCTGTGAGACTGGATGTAAACCAGGCTCAGTGACACACGCCTGTAATCCAAGCACTGAGAGGCTGAGGCAGGGGGATAACAAGCTCATCAGGCTGGGCAATTTAAGAGACCCTGTCTCAAAAAAGAAAAATACAAAAGGGCTGGGTATGTAGCTCAGTGAGAAGGCGCTGGGTTCCATCCTCAGTACCAGAAAAAAAAAAAAGAGAGAGAAAAACTCCCAGAAGACCTCAATATAGAAATGAATGCTTTGGGGCTGGGGATTTAGCTCAGTGGTTCTGCTGCCTGCCTTGCAAACACAAGGACCAGAGTTTGAGCCCCAGGAGCCTCCCCTGCAAAAGAAATGAAGGCTTTGTAGCCCACCTCTCCTGGGAGCTTTTTTTTTTTTTGGTACTAGGGATTGAACTCAGGACCTTGCACTTGTGAGTCAGGTGTGGCACTACTGCACTAAATCCCCGGCCTCTGGTGCGAGCTTTGAAAGAAAAAAGTACATGAGAGATGCTGACAATAAAGGTCCAGAATTAGATGGTGGCAGCTGCATGTTATTTTAATGACTTTTAGTGCAAGGGACTGAACCCAGGGCCTCACACACACAGACAAGTGCTGTATCTCTGAGCTACTACCCCAGCCCTTATTTTTGACATGGGATCTTGCTAAGTGGCCCCCACTGGCTTTGTACTTGTTTTCCTCCTGCCTCACGCTCCCGTGTTGGAACTACAAGCATGCAATGCTATTCCCATTTTCTTCCACTGCATTTTTTCCCCCAGTACTGGGAATCAAACCTGGGACCTTGTGCTTGCTAGGCAGGCACAGTGCTGCTGAGCTACATCCCCCTTCACTGCACTTTTAATAGGCGCCTGGTCCAGTGGTGGGAGCTTTTGGCACGTGCCACAGAGACTGTGCTGTTATCACTGAGAACTCTAAAAGGTTGTCTTTACCCAGAGTCAGAAAGCCCTAAAGAAAAACTGTTTTTTTTTTTTTTTTTGGGGAGACAGGGTCTCACTATGTAGTTGAGACTGACCTGGAACTCACTATGTAGCCCAGGCTGGTCTTGAACTCATAATGATCCTCCTGCCTCAGCCTCCCGAGTGCTGGGATTACAGGCGTGCACCACCACACCCAGCTGCAAAAAACAGTGTTACCAATACATTTCCAGTTCCCAATAGGTCTGGAGAAAACCATATCGTGAGAAATGTGCTTGTAGTACACATGAGGCTGTATCCTGGAAAAGTCAGTCAATTGATTTGAATTTTGTTTTGTTACCTACTAAATGGGAAGTTTACTCTTGCCTTGTTAAATTACATAGATGAGTGAGTTTCAAGTTGGGAGCCCAGCATAAGCAAAGTACATGAAGGAAACAAAGAGTGTTGCTATGTGCAGCGATTTTGTAGCTTCCAAGTGCTCAGGACCACTGGTGCAATTGTCACTGAGCAACAGGAGTCCAGTCACCTGGCTCAGGAAGCGCTCGTTCGTAGTTTTGAAATTCTTCAGCCATGTCGAGGCCTCTAACGGTTGATCAAAACGCTGTTTGTTGTAGGTAGACTGCAGAAGTTCCCGACAGTTTTTCACCCAAATATGAGCTAAAATGCACAAACAAAAAACAAAACAACTGGAAAGGAACTGACTGTACTTATTTATTTCATGCATTCTAGGCAAGTTCTCTACCACTAGGCTACATTCTCAGCCCTCCACACATATTTATTCCAGCCTTGACTTCAGTGGCTTTTTTGTCTGGTTTGTCTTATGCTATCAATACCTAAGAGTTGGGTGTGGGAGCACAGGCCTGTAACCCCATCACTCAGGAGGACAAGGCAGGAGTATTACAATGAGTTCAAGGCCAACCTGAGCTCCACAGTGAGTTAAAGGCCAGCCTGAACTCCACAGAGAGACCCTGTCTCAGAAACCAATGTGTAAGACACACTGAATAGATTAAATGTCACTTCTGCTTACAGTTTTTAAAGCTGAATTAGAAAGTATGGATGCCCACAACAGTGAACAAAAAAGGGATGTATGCCAGGTGTGAGGGTTTAAAGTTTATATTAATCATGCAGACAATGCTAAAATGCTGATATCAAAAGCATTATGGGTACTCAAAATTATAAATGATAGCAATATGAAAAACAAAGTGATTCGTGGCTGTAGTCCTGGCTACCTGGAGGCTGAGGAATGAGGGCTATTTGAGCCCAAGTGTTCAAGTCCTGCCTGGGCAACACAATGAGACTGTGTCTTTTTTGTTTGTTTGTTTGTTTTTTTGGTACCGGGGATTGAACTCGGGTCCTTGAGCTTGCATGGCAGGCCACTTAACCGCTGAGCTAAATCCCCGGCCCTTTTTGTTTTTTTGAGACAGGGTTTTGCTATACAATTCAGGCTGGTCTTCAAACCATGGTGTTCTTCCTGCCTTAGGAAGGATCTTCCTGTCTCAGCCTCCTGAGTGCTGGGGTTACACCACTATGCCTGGCTAGGACCCATCTCTTACACAAAACAAAGTGAAAATAAAATCCCGTGGTGCCCTCGAAGGTGGGATTTTGTTCTTGGGCATTAACTATTAAAGTAAAAACTTCGTATTGGAAGGGTTCAGGAAGCTTTTAGCTGAATCTACTGTTGTCACACACTCCATCTTGCAAGCTGTGTGGCAGTGACATTACAAAGTCTGGATGAACTAGCTCAGGCTCTTGCATCTGGAATAAAGGCCTTCCCTTTAGTCAGAGGAGCCTGGTCAGATAATAAAGACACAGGGCTGCTTTGGTAACAGGAAAAGTAGCCTGACACAGAGAAGAGAGGAAGCTCTTACCATCTGGAATATGCAAGATCAGCCAGCCGTGTTTTGCGCAGAAATGGATGATATGGCAAAGACTGAGGGTCTTTCCTGTTCCCCTTTCTCCATCTAATGTATCTGTCGTTAAGAAAACACCACCAGAGGGGGCACACTTGCACTTCTTCCTTACGCTCATGAGAGGAGAAAACACTGGCTAGCAGAGTCCCGGCAGGCAGAAAAGGATACAGAGAAGATACCGGACAGCTGGGTGAGCAAAATTAGTGTTTTTCAGGTAGTGCAGGAGCTCCAGGGCCGGTCTCCTCACCATGAGGCACGCTTCCCCGAATGTCTTCACCTGCGGGAATGGAAAGAGGCCGTGATCCATACTGAGCTGGTGCACCAGAAAGAGCAGGGAACTCCATGTTCTTAATTTATTCAGTTAAGACAGGCTGAGTTGCTATTTAATTTGAAAATCAACCCATATAATTTAGCTAAAACACATTATTCTGCACATGATAACATAATAGCTTTTGATTATTCTTATTAGTGAAACAAACTCAGTTAACTGAAATCTATAAATAATAGACATAACTAGATATATAGTATGTAGAGTCAAGATAAATCTAAAAAGCATATAAAATGTTTAACACAGCATTTGATACATAGTAAGGACTCGATAAACATTAATTATTTTAAACTTATGTTTAGTTATTTCATATTACTACAGCCATCTCTCATCTCTAGAATTATGTACACAGCTCAGGTGTGATCAGCTGCCTCACAATTACGAGGCCCACACTTCACCCTACCCATATAATGATACATTAGAGTTTGTGTTTATTTCTCTCTCCACCAGAATACTCTGCTAGAAAAATGTGGAAGTACTCATTATATATACAGAAAAGTGATTAGCAAACTAAGTGTTTAATTGTCTACTACCAATAAATATCTAACAACTACTATTTGCAAACATTATCATATGAAGTTAAAAAAAATTTTTTTTTTGGTGTTGGTGACTGCACCTAGGGCCTCCTGCTTGCTAAACATGTGCTCTACCACTGAGCTACTGCCTATGCCGCAGTGTTGGTCTGAAAGAAATCTCCCTATAAATATAACTGCATGGAGGGGGGATTTAGCTCAGTGGTTCTGGCACCTGCTTTCCAAGCTCAGCAACCCAAGTTTGATCCCTGGTATCAAAACAAAAAACAACAAAAACTTTTAGGCTGGGGATTTGGCTCAGTGGTTCCACTGCCTGCTTTGCAAGCACAAGGATCTGAGTTCGATCCCCTGCTACCAAAAAAAAAAAAAAAAAAAAAAAAAAAAA